TATATATGTGTATTATTAAGATTTCGAATGTACTTTTTAATTTTACCAAAATATATGATGAAGATAAATGGTGAGTAAGGAACTAATTTATCTTTGTATATTCCACTTGAAATTTGATTAGGTCATTTATTAGAATTCAAATTCAAACATGACGTGTCTGAGATTAAAATATATGAGATAAGATTAAGTGACTAAGACTTTTAAACATAATATATTAATCTTAAGATTATTTATAGTTCAAGTGTAGAAAAAATAGGTAAAATATCTAAGGTATATTTTAATATATATAATATCATTATATATAGGATATCATGTTATACAAAATACCATTATATACATATAGAGAGAGAGAGTATTTAACAATATGTTTCTAAGTAATTTATATTTTAACTAATTAATCTCTACTACTAAATAATTTTTAAGAGAGAGAGAGAGTATTTAACAATATGTTTCTAAGTAATTTATATTTTAACTAATTAACTTTCACCGATCAACTCAGTTTTTAAAAATATCTACTTGCTTCCTGTGTACATACGCAGAAGGACACGTACGTACCGGAAAATTTACTTAGAGGAGATGAAATTTGTAATATATAGGAAAAAATTGAATCATTAGGTTGGACTAGTTGGAACTCAAAGTTAGAATAGTATATATAAAATATTAAATTCAAATTCTAGTACGTCATTTTAATTTTGATGATAAAAAATATATAGAGAGAAGAATTTTAGGAGGTGTATTGAATTGAAATTTTGAAAGATGTGTTAGTATAAAAAAGTTTTGTAGATTTTAATGAATTTTTATAGATTTATATCAAAAGATTTTAAAAGATTTTATAGATTTCATAGAAAAATATGGATTTGTAAAATATATTTAATGTTACAAAAATTAATAAAAAAAATATAACATAAATAATGAAGAAAAGTAAAGTTAATACAAATTGTTCTATCTCTTTGACAAATAATTATCTCTATCTTTTAACAAATAATTTTTTCCATACATCTACTACAAATGTTACATACAAAAAGTATCAATATAAGTACAATATATGTAAGTATATGTCTATTTGACATATAGTTACACATAATTTTAGTATTGATTTTGAATGAGATTTAACAACATATTTTGTGTCACTATAACCTATACCCACACTTTTTAATAATTATAAAATATATTGTAGTTTTTGTATGAGTAAAAGTAATTTTTAGTGACATTTATAGTGTCACTATAGAGTGTATGTCACTATATGACAATTTTCTTGTAGTGATCTAAGGTTATATTAGTCCTTTTTCATGCATTGATATATTTTATGCTCTTGAGTCTGAATAACATATTCAAAATTATGGTCTTTATTAACTAGTAGCATTGAATATTAAGATTCATCTATTGATCCAATTGAAAACTCATCAAAACGACATTTATTATGAAAAAAGTTATATAGTGCTACATAAATAGAAATGGAGGCACTAACTTAAAAATTATCAAACGTGGTTTAAAAATACCAAATATCTTATTGATCACATTTTTTAAGGACGCATGATATAAATTGAATACTTCATTTTTATTTTGAAGAAATGAGATAAAAAAGAACAAGAAGAGAGAGAGAGAGAGAGAGAGAGAGAATATGAGAGAGGGAAGAGAGAGAGGGAGATGAGAAAGAGAGAGAAACAAGAAAGGGGGAGAGAGAAGAAAGAAGAGGAGATCCCTATGTTTTTAAATACCGATAATTTTTTTAAGTGAAAAAAAAGTTTTAATTGAATATCATCGGATTTTGACAGACTTTAAAAAAAAATTATAATTATCTTAATTAAATACTACCGGATTTTGATGTACTCATAAAAAAATCATGATTTTCTTAATTGAATATTACATAATCATTTTATATTAAAAAAAATCTTAATTAAATACTACAAGATTTTTTTATAATAAAAAAAATATTTTAAAATTTATTACAATCCTAATTCAATACACTCCCTTAATCCATAACAACAAATCCAAAGAGAAAGTAAAGTTAATTATTAATGAAGGTAAAAGAAAATATTTATACAAAATATCATACAGTAATTCTTTTATTACCAAAAACAAATTTTTTATTTTTTCATTAAATATTAAAATATTTTTATTGTAATAAAATTTTTTCCATTAAAAATGCAATATTTATGAATTTTATAACATTGTTTTGTGATTAAATTTTTATTTAATTTTATTAATTAAATAATTTATATTGATGTATTGTTTTAATATTTTTAAACTTTAAGAATTAATAAATTCTTAGATTCTAATAGAGTAGTCCTAGTTCTTAGAAGACTCGTCTATCACTAATGTTCAATAGAACATGGATGACAAGAGAGTTTACAACATGAAGCATTTTACTCAACCAATTAAATTAGACCTGCTGATTATATAATTGATATATATTACATTACAGTGTTATTTATGAATTTTGAATTTAATTATTTTCCCTTTAATTCCAATAATATATACTTTAATTAATGAGATATCATTTTAATTAGTTAATAAGCATTTGAAATTTGTACCGGAGAGACCGTATCGGTCACGTGGGCCAACACCTTAGGAATCCGTGTAGGTAGTTTATTTTTGTTCTTGCAATTTAATTGGTTTTAGTTTCTAATTCGTCTAGTTATTCACCATATCACAAATCACAAAAAAAAAAATATTTTCATTGAAAAGATTTTTGGTGAGGATTAACTACAAGGGGGATTAGTAATTTTTACTTGAAGAGGCTTGGTTATTAAGTGGCTCTTAGTAGCTCACCTCCCTCCAAAGTTCAATTTGTATACTTAGTCCTCCAAGTACTTAGTCTTAACCTTTAAAAATTGCTTTTAAAAAGTCTTTCATTAAA